GAGAGAGAGAGAGAGAATAAAATTAGCGAGAAGTCGTAAAAGACCACCGTTGTTTTTTGAGTTACTTGTTAATGCGAAAGTTTTGTTAAAACTCTGCGCTTGTAACCGGTGTCCACTAAAGTTTTCATTGTTTTACAATGCATTTTTAATATAGTTTCTTATTTATTTGTTATCGGAAAAAATTCGGCTATATCAGTCTTACTAAAACTTAGATTATTCATTTGTAATATAAATTAAATGAAATTTTACTACATATGCTTATGTCTATTATCATATTTAACTATTACACAGAAAAAAATTAGTTTTAAATCAAGATAAATATTCTCATAAGCAAGAATATTGTAATCTTAAAAATTTTAATCTTGATTTGATTGAATTTGTATTTGATGCAAGTTTTACTTTCGCTCAACTCAACAGAAGCTTCTTTATAAAGATTATATTTCTTGCATTTGAATGAGAATATTTATATCTGCATTAATAGGAATTTAAGATTAAAATTTTGAAAGAAAGAAAATAATATATAATAAATTTTATAAATAATATAGTTTTATAATAAATTTTTTTCTAAGAAATTTCTAGGAAATTTTTTTCTAAGAAAATTTTAATAATCTTGCTTATACACTGAGAAAAAAAATACTGAAACGAATATATCATGCTTTTTTAATTATCAAGATCTTTGTTTTATTAATAACGTAATTGAATTAACAAAATTACTTTCAATTAGACTAATGCTGTTGTAATGACGATTCAACAGCATTTTTTCTCAGTGTATATGAGAATATTATAAAATTTTCTTAGAAAAAAATTTCCTAGAAAAAAATAATGATTGATTTTTGATCAATTTTGTCTTGATTTAAGAGTAAACTTTTTTTCCATGTATAAATATTAATCCGACATATAGATAAACGCGAGCAAAATCTCGTGTGCTTCCCACCTATCCAATTACACCTCGCGCTGAACTCCGCCGCGAACGGACACCTATTAATTAGCGGAAACGAAAGTGCAACGAATACTACACTAATTCGAATACCATTTCACTGACGGTATAATCGGTCGACGGGAAATACTAAAGGTGCGGACGATTTGGGTGACACAAGGAGGTAGTATCGGAGGTAGTATTCCAGCGAAAGAAAATAGTTCCAGCTGGGGGAAAAAAAAAAAAAGTCGAGAGACGCAATGACGAAGAGGTCGACTTGAAGATGTCGACGGCTCCGACTTGAAGATGTCGATGACGATGGAATTTGACATTCCGGTCATGATGGATTCGCAGTGGGAATACGCAGAGTACGAGCCGAGAAACATTCATATCTACGAGAAGGAATTTCGTGATTATGTCGTCTACTACGTCGCGCAAGGGGACTCGCAGCTATTCCCGAGCAGTTTGCAGCACAGCTCGAGTACAGGTACTTGGAAAAACGCACGAGAACACACGGCGGAAAATGTATTTTAATGAATATACGAGACGCGGTATCGAAGTATCCCGAGGGGGTGTGTCACGTGTTTTGCCCGCGCGAGATAAAAAAGCTTCGTCAACTTCGGCTCTTCTTACCGTAAACATTTTCGAAGGCGACCTCTCGATAACGTCTGCTTTCGTTTTTTTTTTTTTTTTTTTTCCCTTCGTACTTCCAAAAGTGTGAATTGTTTTATTTTCACCTTGTTAGCGAGCCCGAGAGAAATTATTTGCTCTATCGTTCGAAATGCATGCGGATAAGGCTGCGAATTATTTCGCTGTTTGAACGCTTTATTCAATTTATATTATGCAAATAGTTTTTTTTTTTTTTTCTTTTTTTTCCGTATCTATAGAAAATTGTTTTTTATCATTTGCAATCGTTATTAATTTACAATAGTCGATCTCAATGAGGACATAATTAAAATCTGAAAGACTACAATCCACGTATCTCTTTTAAAATTTTTCTTTTATTATTTATTATAAAAGATTCAAATAGCGGTAAGTGATGTCTTTAGATTGACAGTTGTTTTTCAGCTAAATAGATAGAAATGTATCGGAAAATTTGAGGAATGGAAATTTTCAGCGAGGCCATTTCAAGAAGCGGTTTCGAGTTACGTATGTTCCATTTCTGTCGATGTTCGTTTCGATAAATATATCAATTAATTTTATACACGTATGAATTGAAATTACACTTGTGCCATCTGCGACGTGTGCGAGATGAAATAAGCAAATCTGTAAAAGTGTCAAGTCCACGCGTCGCGCCGTTCTGCCGGCTAAAATAACGTTTCCGCAGTCGTCCCGTCGTGCTTATTGCGCAATGGCGTGAATTGAATGCCAGTTAAAATTGAGCAAAGTGTCTGAATCATTTATCGAAGGCCATGGAGGAGGAGAGAAAAACAAACCTTTCAGATTACTCGTCGCGTGATTCTTCGTTACTCTCGTCTACGTTTGCTCGTAGAACACAATAGAGAAAATCTATTATATCCCCTCGGCTGGGCGGTCGGCCGCGGAAAATAATAGCGAATGCGGCCGTTTATTATATACGAGTGGTCTGGCATTGGCGCTTTTAATAACGCATATAATTATATCATCCATATACAATCATATATGTACATTATAATAAATGTACATACTGAAGAATAATCCGGAGTTTAGCTTTCGAAATAATATTATTCGATACCTGATATTTTATTCAGAACTTCCTACATTTTAATGTTTAATTAACCGAAATGATTGATATTATATATACAACAAACTAATATAATAAAATATGTATCCGTAGATTGATATGTCGCTGCTATCGTAATTTTACTCAGGTACGCTGATGTTAGATATTTGTAATTAAATTAAAAAAAAAAAATCACGCCGTTAGTAAAAAAATATATTTAAACGAATATATATATATATATATATATAATTAAAAAAAATGTTATTTATTTTAAATTGTATTTTAATCTTTTTGACGATAGCAATCGTGGTAGCCTTCGAAGGCATTAAAAGATATGTTTTTAATTAAAGGAGGAATATTAGTTAGCGCTCGTCTTCGCGTGAGATATATTCTATTAAGGCAGTTTTTCACAACAGGAATATTACGCCTCTCGTCGCCTCTCGATCGTTCATTTTCTTCGACTCGTGTGCGATGCCACCACCGACCACGAATCGAACGAATGTTTAAATTGACAATGATTAACCGCGTTTGTCGCGGCAGCTTCAACCCTTTGACTTTTGCGTGAGCCGTCACGTGCCTGCTGCTTCGTTTATCATCAAGTCGCTTGTGCATTTGCCACGGTGCAGCTGATTGCACTGGCGGTGAGTAATGCAGTCGGGTAGGCGGGTTGCGGTTGAAATTAAATTTAACCGTTACTTATCGCTGCGAATGTTCAACACTTCACGTATCGGCGATTATTTTCTCTCTCTCTCTTTTTTTCTTTTTTTTTTCCTAAGAGCGTGGATATAACGACGATCCATTTTGCTTCGCAAAGGTTACTCGACGAAGATTCGACGTTAAATTATCCTCGCTGAAGAAACATTATACTTAGGATAACGGTATCGGATGTATATCTCTTTCATGCTGCATCTTGTCGGAGCGAAGTTCGCTTCTTGCATTCTGTATCGCCGTCCGTATTATTCTACGCGGAGTGAACAGTTTTTGTTAAAATATCTAAAAATTTAGGCGAGATATACAAATTTGAAGATAATTCTGTTAAGTCAATAATAATGTTAAGCAAATAATTATGTAAGGGTCTGCTAACAATGGAGCAAATATTAGGAGTAAATATTAAATATTAAATTTTGGAAATCAAAAATTTGCAATATTTGCAATAAAAATGAATATGAATGAGTATAAAATATAGTCATATCTTATACTTACTTATATTCATTGTGTTACGTTACGTTTAATTTTTATTCTGAATTTTTATTTCTAAAATTTAATATCTATTCCTATTTCTAATATTTTTTTTTCATTGTGCGCAGGATCTAAGACGTTTAAGCATGATGATGAAATAATGCATAAACTTTTAATATTTTAACATCAATTAATTTAAACATCCTATATCATTATTTTGACAACCGAACAAAATTATTTTCAGATCTGTATCTAGTCAAATTTTTCGATATTTCAGCAAATTTGTTCTTTTCGTCGCGTGTGCGATTATATTTTAATAGATGTTATATGTAAAAAAATATAAATATATAATATAACATAATATATAATAATATTAATATATAATGATAATCTAATCTAATATATAATGATATATATTATCTCTACGGCTTATCGCAAAGTTACCTGGTTCTACTGAAAAAGCGGAAGAATCGAGAACATTTGCTGTATCTCCTCTTCGGTATCTCTCTAGACTCTCGAGACTTGGAACTCGAGAATCCTGCGCGAGAGTAATCTAAATTACAATTTTTTTTTCATCGTTTGCATAAATAAGATCAAATAAAATAATCGCGAGATATTTATAGTGATAGAGAAGAAGATGTCCGCGCAATGATCTTAGACAAGTCGAGAAATAAAAACGCGCATATATTTACATCAGCGGCACTCTGTTTATCAACATACGACCGTTCGGGGAAAAAGTAACTGTGACTGTGAATCCGTTTTTCTTTTCTGCACAGATTCCGATAACGAGAGCAAAGATGGCTCCACGGCGCAGGAGAAGAAGCACGGCCGTGTCTCGCAGCCCATCAATACCATTGCCTACACGGTAAGCGCGACTGCATGCATAGCAAGCGTTCTAATTGAGCGCATATTAAGCTACACTTGCACGATTCCAATCGGGTGTCGGGACAAGACGATTAGGTGTCAAGGAGAGCGATTATGTAACCTTTGTTCGAATAACGCATAAATCTATATCCGTTATCCTTTCCCGGATGCCTGAGCGCGTGGCGTAACGTGATTTTTTTTTACTGTGGCTTCAAAGGGAGACAAGGGAGACAAAATCGAGGATTCAAAGGAATTTTGAGGCTTCACGATCACAAAGATTTTTCAACGTTTTACAACGTTTCCATGAAAGAGAAGCGATTAAATATTTGTGATAAAAGTGCCAAGCTAGGATGGAAACTTAACGATTGTAGGAATAGAAAATGTGTTGGCAAATGATAATTAGCATAAATTTTTACGAAGAACGCTATCTCCGTTACGTAAGCTAAAAAAATTCTCTAGCACGGTACTTTTTTTTCAAACCGTTATACGGCTACGAAGATAATGACGCGATTTTCTCAAAATTTTACATATTTTTACAATAAAATAATTTACAATGAATTCATTGTTTCTGAAGAAATACTTTTTCTGAGTAAACATATACAAGGTCTTTGGTGAGTCGAAGTTAAAGTCCGAAAATTGTTTTCAAGTTATCCCCATTTTTACGTTGAAATTTGAAGCTTTCGAATTTTTTTCTCAAAATTGGAGGAAGATATGAGTTTTTATGAATTTTATAACATAATTAAAGTCAAATAAATGCGGACTGCTCTCCCAATCATCTCCCGAGCGATTAATCTCTATTTTTGAAATATCCTGCAATAAAGTTTAGCTTTAAGGGAAATCGCACGCGTAATTCCGTGTTTATCGAAACCGAGAAATTAAGGTCAGGAATTGAGAATCGGAAGAATTTGCCGAAGAGGAGTCGACAAGCTCAGTAACGGTGGGATAATGATTAACCGCGCGTATTACCGACACTTCGGTTCGACGGCGTGCGCATGCGCATCGCGCATATCTCTCGATGCGAAACACTTTGGCATGAATTCCAATTACTTCGCCGTGGGTCTGAGAGCCGGCTCTCGCAGACCCTCGTTTACGAAATAGTTTTCTCCCTGGTGAGTCGCGGCGAAAGGCCGCCGCGTGTTCGCAAAGACCGCGGACATCCGCGGACTCCCGGAACTTCGGCGGCACGGGAGGGGCGTGAGGAGAGTGGGGAGGGGGGGCGGGTTACTCGTGCGCATCGCTGGGATTCTAGAACGGCGCGTATGCAAAGATCGCGATCTCGGGACGGCACGCGTCCGTTGAGGAGCACCTTGTGCCGAATGATGCGGATTCTGTTCCTCGGATTCTGTACCACTTCTAACGTCTCTGATGTTTTTGATACTTCCTCGGCCTTCCTTCATAGATAAGAAGAAATTTTAAAAGCAGCTTCTGCATTAAACAGCTCCGATTATCTCGTTCTTTATTTTTCTGATGAAAAAAAAAAATAAGCTCATATATAATTAATTATATATAAGAAATATACGTGGCATAATCACGCGATATAAACGGGGTGTTTATTTCCTGGAAAAATCTAGAAAGTTTCAAGGAATTCTCAAGGAATTATTTTACTATTAAAAATCAAGGAATATTATGGAATTTTATTGTAATTTAGAAAAATTTTTGAAATTTTTTTATCTTTAAATTTAAATGTTGTATTTTTCAGAAAACATTTTTTGATAAATTTGTTTTTATAATGCAAACTCTGTCACTAATCTTTCAATTATTCAAATTAATGATCAATACATGACTCCGTGTACATCGTTTTTATAAAAAAAATCCAATATCTTTTTAAAATTTAAGCAAAGATTAAGTCAAAAATTAATAATTCCAATAGAAGCTTTTCTTTGCGATTAAATAAATGTAACATAATAATACATATTTATTTCAAAGTTGCATTTAAGAATTCTTTAATTTAAGGTACCTGGAAAATTCAAAAATTTTTTTACATTTTAATACATAGCCTGATAAATAGAAACGTAATTTGATAACAGAGAAAAAAATTTTCTTTTTTCTTTATATTTTTTTCCCCGTCTTTTTTTCATTTACGATAACTGCGTTTATTTTATATCATGTTACATAATCATTATAAAGTGATCGTCGATTTCGTACGTGTATACAGGCCTCGAGGGAAATTTCTCGATCGAGCAGTGCTCTGGGAAGAAAGGCATCCTTCTCTTTCTTTCTTCTAACCCTAACTTGTTCCTAATGCGATGCTTGTGAAAGGCTCGCTCCGGGGAGCGGAAGACCGCCGCGACATTTACCCGATGAGGAAATAGAGTTGTTGCACAAGCTACATTTCCGGGTTCCCTCCGGAGCAAGGCGAAGATTCGCGAGAGTTCAAACTAGTCTTGATATCATCAGTTTCATTCTGTCCCCTTCCTACAAGTTTAAGTTCTGTCCCCTTCCCTAAACTTTGAATTGAAGTTTTGCCTAGCGGTGGACGAAAGATTATTATTAATTATTATATAATCTATTATTATATAATCGAAATTAAGTTAAAGAATTATTAATAACATTTCGATAAATTTAAAAAAAATATTGCTAATTATCATATCTCCAACAGTCACGTACATAATCAAGTGAATAAATACAATTCTATGAATATACTTTTTATCTCGGTTCATTCGACCTGTCGATTCGATATGATTTAATCTTTCAAGTACAATTAATTGCATTTTACATCGACAAAATAAATTATGATATTGCTTATAATAAATTTAATTGAAAATTATTCATCAAAGAAGACGGAGGGAAGAAATCATTCATCTTAAAATTTAGAGGAGAAGATTTAATATTAATTTCTAAACGATTTGCCAGGAATTGAATTCAAGATAACTGGAAATTAATGATTTTCATCGTTGTATGTGCAACATCGGTAATGTATTTTCGCAATCCACGTAATGTTAATCCGTTGATGGGTCGTCGCCCCTTCGTCAGTTCCGGCAGCTGCTGGCGTTATCCCGTTTAGCGGCAGCGAAATCACTATGGCCGTGACGTAATCCCCGTGTCCTGATAATCACGGTGGTCTGCAATTCCTGCTGTATTAGAGAGCCCGGCTTATGTCGCCCGTTTCGGCTTCCTTTCACCCCGTTGATCGATTTAACGTCTCGTAATCTGACTGAATTTCTCTCATCTTCCTCGCGCTCGCAACCTCGACGATGCTCGCTGCAATCGCGCGCAATTGAACAACAACAATTTCCAAGTTTACGCCATTTTATCACTTTTTCAGACGGCGATATCTAAGATCTGTTTGCCTTTGCGTTAAACGTTATCGTAACTCTAAGTCGATACAAAGAACATTAATTAGCAGGGAAATTAGTTGTGAAGAAATTAAAGAGTTTGTAGAAACCCATTTTGCCCCTTCCGTTTAACTTATTAAGGTATTTAAGCAAATTTTCCTAGTTGAAAGTTATATAACTGTTTTTAACTGAAATTTCTTAATCAAAATTGTCTCAGGTGACTTGGCACCTCGAGAAACACCAAAATGATTTTTATTAAGTTAGCGTTTCAATTTTTCCAAAATATAGCCAACAGCATTTTGGCATTTCCCAACGAATTTCGGATAAAACCTTGAAAGTTTTAGTTATCACAAACAAAAGTGTCAGCATCAGATTCAAATCGATTCAAATTAACAAAACAAAAGCGTCGCACTTAATTTTCGGATTTTATTGACAAAAATAATATCATTATAAATTTTGACTTTGTTAATAAGACCTTAGCTTTAATTGCACTTATTGAAAAAAAATTCGTTTTTTATCCGTTGAATACGTAGAAGTGTGATTCTGAAAGCTGTGCAATCTTTCTACGCGAACATTAGCAGATGCAAAAGAGTGACGAGTTTGACAGCGGGCAACACAGAGGCTCTCTCTTGCGAGAGAGATCTTTCATGACATCTAGCAGCGGTGATTTCGCTCAATGAAAATGAAGATGAAGATTATAAAGCCGCACACTAAAAGACGCGGAAGCCGAAACAATAGGCATCGCACTCGTTTTCCCGCTCTTCTTCTCGACTCTGGAAAACATCCTTCCTTTATCCCGCTTCTGCCGTCGTTCTTTTTTCTTCGTTCTTCTTGCCAGTCTCATCACCGCGATTCTCGCTTTCTGTCCCGTTTTAATTCGATTCCAGTTTTAATCTCTCTTTCCCTCTTCTCGTTGTCGCCCACGCGTCTAATCTCTGTCGGTGGAATGGCTGTTCTTTTTCTCGTTCGGCCGCACCACTAATGGGACGCGAATGAGAAGAGGGAAAGGGAGGAGTCTTGAGCTGCTTTCTAATCACTCATCTAATCTCGATCGTTCTATATTTATCCGGAATGAAAGACGTTGAAAATACTAAGGCGAAAGCGATGTCCTCGATCTGTGTCGCATTATTTGAAAATATAATTTATTAAACGGGAAACAACGTTTTTTGGCACTTAAATAACCAAAAATATTATAACAGATATCGATTAAATACGTCCGATATTATGATATAAATTTTTGATCGATAGTTTTTTCAGTTATAAACAATATTGCCATCCAATCGCTTAGGTCATTTTTTGTTTTCCTTTTGTTTTTGACAGGTCAATAAAAAGTTATTATCGTCTGAAATGGGTCACCCTTTTTTTTGAACTGACTTGAAATTTATAAAACATATAAGCGTTCTGTTTATATTTTTATTATCTCGTTTGATAAGAATTGCTACTTGATAAATATTGCTCACTGATTTGAATTGTATCATTCAAGTTTTTGATCATTTCTTATTACAAACTTTTAAGCCATGCTATGAAAAGAATGTTATATATTAAATTCAAAGATAAATTTGAAAAAAATAAAAGTAAATATTATTTTTTTGTTTAAATGATTTTAATTATTCTAAAAATATGACAAAATTGTTACTTTTAGTTACTATTTTAATGCCTACTTTTAGAAAATGTAATTTTCTATTTTTATATTTTATACTTTATATGTATTTTATATTATTTTTCATATTTTTATATATTATTATTTATTTTTTTCTGTTAAAAACCAACAATCACTATTTCACTTTTTTTTATGCCTGGACGACAATGTTGAATATAAAT